GGGGGGTGGGCACCTCCCAAGGGCTCAGGCACCCCCGCCCCCATTCTCTGCGTGTTTTCTGGGTTTTTTTGTCCTTCTGCAGGTGGTGTGGGCCATCAATTCCATCCTGCTGCCATCCATCTGGGAGACCTGGATGAGACCTGGTCATCTGTCTGGGAGCCCTGGATGTGTCTGTGGTTGGATTTGCTGCCCTGGGGTTCCTGAACTGCAGGGGAGCCATAGATGGGACCCACATCCTGATCCAAGCCTCAGAACATCGAGCAGACCACTTCATAAATTGCAAGGGCTACTTTTTGATGGTGGTGCAGACCTGGTCAACCACCATGGACACTTCACAGACATTTTTGTGGGGTGGTTGGGCAGGGCACATGACACCCGCATCTTTAGAAACTCCAGCCTGTACCGCGAGCTGGAAGTGGGCACATTCTTCTCCTGCTGAGACTTTGAGGTTGGGTACGTGCAGATGCCACTGTGCATCATGGGGGACGTGGCCTACCACCTCATGCTGTGGCTGATGAAGCTGTACAGTGGACACCTGGACTCCAGCAGGGACTGATTTAATGCCCGCCTGAACTGGGCCAGGATCCAGGTGGAATGCGCCTTCAGCTGCCTCAAGGCCGCTTCCGGTGACTGCTGACCCGCCTTGACGTGGGGGAACACAACATCCCTGAGGTGGTTGCGGCATGTGGTGTCCTCCACAACACTGTGGAGAGAAGGGGGAAGCCTTCCTCCCAGGGCGGGGGGCAGATGCTGGCTGTGAGGGGCAAGCATTCAAGCAGCAGTGGACAGCTGCCATCTGACAGGTCCACCAGGCTGGGGTGCACATCTGGGAGGCCCTGAGGGAGAAGGTCTCTCAAGCACCCCCTTAACTCACCCCAAGGCCTCTTCCCAAGGGGTCTCTGTCTTGCGGACAGATCCCTTCCCCACCATAACCTCTCCCTTTCCCCCTTCCCTGACTTCACAATAAACACACCTCTTTAGTTTTCAACAATAAAAAATGTCTATTTATATTACATCAACAAAAGGTGGGCAGGGGAAGGGGGCTCCTAACTGGAAGGGGGATTCATAACTGTGAGGACTGTGGGGGGTGGCTCCATGTGCCACCTTTGGTGCAGGGGCCTCATTGGGCTTATGGTTGGGTGGGTGTGGAGAGCACAGGGGGGTGGCCAGGATGGGGGACTGGAGCGGGGTCAGGGTTGGTGGGGGGCAGGAGGAAGGTGCCTGGGTATCACCTGGAGAGGGAGCAGAGGCATAGCAGGGGTGGCAAGTGGACGGGGAATGGGCATAGCAGGGGGCACAGGAGAGTGGGAGCCAGGAACAGTGGCATGAGGCGGGCGTGCCGCCATGCTGGACATGACAGCACACATGCAGTCACACCACTCGAGGAACTGGCCCCAGGCATGTTCCTGCCACTCGAGATCGGCACGGCCCTCGTGTGCCAGGGTCCGCTCCATGCCCCCAGGACAGTGATGTGCTGCCACATCAGCTGCTCCTGGACCCTTGCGTGCCTTTGGGCCCCCCAAGCACTGGTGGTGGACCAGCTGGCGCTTCCCTCCCGGCTGGTCTGGCTGTGGAGAACACACAAGAGGGAGAGGCTGTCAGTCATCCCTGCAGACACTGTCCGAGGCTGTGCACCTACAGTCTGCACCCCAGAGGATGGGGATGTCCTTCACAGCAGGTCCAGCCTCACAGGGGCCCCGACGTGCCCAGAGGGCTGTGCTGCCTGCTTACCCACACTCCCCCCAGCCCACGGGCAAGCAGCCAAGGGAAGTGGACGGCAGAGGAGCTGGGAGCAGCCTGGGCCTACCTGGGGGCCGCACACACAGGGGTGGCTTGCAGAGCTGCCTATGGGCGCAGCTGCTGTGTTGCACATGCAGGCATGGCTGCATACTGTGTGCAACACTCATCGGTGTGTGTGTGGGGTCGAGCCTGCGACCTTGTGGCTAGCCTGCTTCCAGCCAGGGCACCTCCCCGCCCCCCAGGGCAGGAAGTGTGTGGCCTCCTCTGAGCCTGCCAGCAGGATCCCAGGCGTGCTCAGGGGCTGCCTGATGCATCCATGTGCCACACACTCACGCTGCACAAGGTTGCACGTGTGTGGACCTCAGCACGCTGTGCAGCCCGAGCAGCCCAAATGATACTCGCCCTCAGGCCCCTGTGCACCCGCCTCTCCCGCCCTCTGTGTGAGTGACAAAGTGAGACCACGCACCTGAGGATCTGAGAAAGCCTGGGAGACGTCCTGGCTGACAGGCACTGGCTACAGGGACAGGGTCACGGTGCCCCTCTGCTCCTCCTTCTCCTCTGCCGTGGCCGACTGGCCCTCACCCTCCTGCTCCTCCTCCGGTTGGGTGATGACGGGGGTCGCCAGCCCAGAGTTGATGCAGGTGGATGGAGAGGACATTTCCCCATCCCTCAGGATGTCATGCAACTCCTGCCCCGGTTGCAAGCCGCGCTTGGTGGCACAGACAGATCCCTGGCTGAGCTCCTTGACTTTGCTCCAGACCTGTTCCAAGGTCTGGAGTGGGTCTCCAAGCTCTGCCAGGGACTGCGCCGTCTGGCCATAAATGTCCGCGTTCCTCCTCTTGGCCTCGGGATCCTGAAATGTCTCCTCCTGGACCCACAGCTCTAGGAGGGACTTAATCTCCGGGCCTGACCAGGAGAGTGCCCGCCTCTTGTTCTCCCTTCGTGGGTCCTGGGACCCCTGGGACTACTCCCTGCTAGGGCTAGATGTGTCTCAGGAGGCTTGAGGCTCAGACATGCTGATCAGGCCTGTGGCAGGGAGAGCCATGCTGCTCTCTGGTCGGCTTTCTGCCACAAGACTAGTCCAGGGGGACTGCAGCTTTAAGAGGGGCCAGACGACAGGAACTATAGAGGTGTGATGAGTTTTATGGAGTATCCACCACAGCACGTCTGCTTTTTCCTGGAGGCCTCGTCTTGCACAAAAAAAACCTGTTGTCCGTCCACACTCGCCTTTTTGCAGAAAGAACCCTTTCACCAAAAAGAGCCATTTTTCCGCAAAAACTCTGTAGAATAGACATAGCCTCAACCAGTGTCACAAAGTCTGTGTCTCTATTTCAATCTCACACATCCCCTCTCAGTACTTCCCTGCCCCACCGCTTCTGGAGGCCTGCAGTAGGCCCGGGACCATGTTCCAAAATTCACTAATGATTGCCCACCCCTGCTATGGAGGGAAAAAAGACAGCAAGTTGTGGCCAGGGTGATAATCTGAATGTGAATTAACTCCGACCTACAAGCACTGAAAGTAGAGCGTTCAAATCACTACAGGTTGGTTTATCAAAATCTGGTCTGTACTAGAGCTACTCCAGGGAACAATCTCAGAAAGGGAATGGCTATCATACCAATAGAGGTGTGGGTTGCATTGTCCTTTAAAGAGGTAATTTGACTAATATGCCAGGCTAGAACCCCCACTGGAGGAGATACTGGAAAATGGACAAAAGGGAAGGAGAATGTGGAGATATTTACCAAGACTCTTCATAGGGTCAGCACTGAGGATCTGGCTGGCTCGCTTGGACCGGAAATAGTTACTGGCAATATTCTCACTGTCACTCCTGCTCAGCATTAGTTTGTAGCGGTCTTCTTCCTGTGTGAACAACACTCCCCTCAACTCCAGCTTCTGTGCAGCCAAGCACCACTCCATGGGCTAGGGGTCAAAGTCTTCGAGACTGAAGTGACTGAACATGTGATCCAATCTGGGCATTAGTAACAATACAAAACACACATTCCTGGGCACAGTCTGGAAAGGGAGGGGGCTCTATGCTTGCCACCTCCTCTGATACCTGTAAGTGAAGCCCAAAATCGAATGATACAGGTGGAATTCCGCTACGCTGGAGCATGGGGCTTTTGGGCAACTTTCTCTGAGGCTGCAGGAGGTCTATGGCCAGTAGGTTTGCAAATCCCCTCTCCAAAAACCCTCTGAAGGGCCACAGCAATTACTATAAGCAATGGGATTGGTCTCATTTTGCATGAGTGAGAGGGGGAAATCAGCAATTGATCCATAGCCAGGTTTCATAATCCGCCACACTTGCTGCACTGACACAGTCCTAAATCACTTTGTCCTGGGCAGAGAGGCTGAGCAGAGCAAAGCAAAGTAGAAAGTGGGGTTTTTTGTTGTGAAAGGGGGGCTAGCATGGCACCAATTCACTTGAACTCGAGGCCAGCTCCCCACAAAGAACAGCCAACGCACTGTCTTGGAATTGCTCTGGGGTGTGACGGGTTAACCCTGTCCCTCCTCATGAGCGGGAGCACGCCCGGGGCACGCGAAGCGGCAGGTGGCTGGCCCTGCCCCCCTCATCGCTGCCGCACATGCGCCTGCAGCCGGGCCATTTAAACCCAGCGCGGGTGCAGAAGGGAGCAGGAGGAAAGAGAAGCCAGTGCGGAGGCGGCGGGGGACGCCGGGACCGCAGCCGGGGTGGCAGGAGCAGCTGGAGAGGAAGGAGCCGGTGCAGAGGCAGCGAGGGACGCCAGGACCGCGACGGGAGCGGTGGAGGAGACGAAAAGCACCCAGTCCGTGCTGAGGGAGGGAGCGGACACCAGGGAGGAACCGGCTAACGCCGCCAAATCCAGGGCCAATGGGGCAGGTGACATGGACCCTACGAGCAGAGCAGGTAGGGGTCGCAGGGGCTACGGAGCCGGACCGGGGACCACGAGCGTGGACCCGTGGTGGGAGCTCCTATCTGAGCAGGAGTGCGGCCCGGAGGTACTGAGACCGAGAGGGGCTGCCGGGGGAGAGGAGTGTGTAGACTCTGTAGGAAGGAGGCCCGGGGTGGGGCCGGCAAGCAACCCCCTCCCTGGGCCCCCGAGAGGGGTGGTGAGTCAAACTCCGTGTGACTCACCGCTAGGGCAGGGACCAGCAGGCCTTACCCTGAGGGTCCTGGGGCTGGAGCTCGGGAGCAAGGGAGGGCCTGAGTTCCCCTACGTACCCAAGAGACTGCAAATCAGGACTACGTGAATAGACCCAAAGGAGAGTTCGGACTCGGGACCAAGGGGGACGCCCGCTTGGGACCCAGACTGTGATTTCTATCAGGACCTTGCGACGGTTCAGAAAGGGGAGGGACCCGTGCCTCGGGACAGGCCCGTGTGTGGGCCCAGAGTAAACTGGGGACGGGGGCTCGTGAACCTAACGAGAGCGGTCCCGGCCCCACACACCCTTTAATAGGGATAAAGCACGTGACATGGGGCTTCACCTCTCTGATTCAGGCCTGGATTGTCTCTCCTAAGAGACTAGACTCACAGCATTACCAGCCTTTTCTGGCCAGGGTCCTACACTCCACTGATTGGCCTCTGGGCTGTAGCCATTTATTGTGCATTACAGACATGTTTGAGGCCCTGCTATGTTACTCTAATAGCCAGTGATGGCTGAGGATGGATCCTTCAGCAACCACTCAGTCTTCTCCAGAAAGAACAGCTGTGTAACAATAACGTCCCTTCTCAGAAGGCTCCTTCTGGGCCTGGGAGAAGTGCAGCTTACCATCAGCAGCTCTCCATCCTCGCCTGAAGAGCTCTTCCTGGCTGGCTTAGTCTGTGGCAGGGATGGAACTGCTATGAGAGAATAAAAGGAGAACTTAAAGGACCAGCAGCACTGAATTAGTTCCAGATTTCATAGAATCGCAGAGAACCTTCAGGAGGTGATCTAGCCTAACCCCCTGCTCAAAGCAGCACCAACCCCAACTAAATCATTCCAGTCCGCGCTTTCTCAAGCCTGGTCTTAATTCAAGGATGGAAATTCTACCACCTCCCTACAAAACCCATTCGAGGGTGTCACCGCCCTCCTAGTGAAACAGTTTTCCCCTAGTATCCAACCTATGTCTCTCCCACTGCAACTTGAGACCATATTCCGTTATCTGCCCCCACTGAGAACAGCCTAGCTCAGGGTCTCAAGTGATTGCACAACCTGGCCTGGGACTCCCAGTGGGCTGGGGGAGTCTGTCCATTACTGCTGCCCAAGCCTCGCTTCTTCCCACCATCACCCTGCCCTCTGCCCTCTCCCCCACCGTCTCCTAAGCCTACAGCCCACAGCTGTTGTGAGACCATATTCCGTTATCTGCCCCCACTGAGAACAGCCTAGCTCAGGGTCTCAAGTGATTGCACAACCTGGCCTGGGACTCCCAGTGGGCTGGGGGAGTCTGTCCATTACTGCTGCCCAAGCCTCGCTTCTTCCCACCATCACCCTGCCCTCTGCCCTCTCCCCCACCGTCTCCTAAGCCTACAGCCCACAGCTGTTGGGATCACCGGGGGGGGGG